CTTTGGACAGTCTCTCGGAAAGAAGTCAATCCGTGAAAGCCCAAGCCGGTTTCCAGCTGTCAGCAAGCTTCCCCAGGAGCTTTGGTAGCAGGTGCCGGCAACATTCCCCTCCGTTCCTTAGCTCCAAAACCCTTCTGGGTTGGGCGTGTTCTTCTTGAACCACGTTCATCACATCCCTTCCTGTAGAGGTAGAAATCGTAGGAATACCGATGACATGGGTCATTACTTAGGACAACGGCCTGGCTGCGATCCGGTATCCACGTCGTTGTCTTAGGACTGCCGGGCATGTTTGATCCGAGCCCAATGGGTCGTTCCTACCAATAGGAGTCGATCTAATTCAAAGAATGTAAGCTATTGTCCCGACTTGGTCGTTGATGCCCACGGATCGGAGCTGCCCCGGCGCTAGACCCTGGTGCTCACTAGCTTGGGATCAGCGAACAAACAGCTAGTGCCAAAGCTTGACGAGACCATCATTTCATCTGAGATGATGGCTGTCAACGTCTCCTCGGAGGTCATTTGACCGGAAAACGGCAAAATGGGCATCTTGAAGCTGGAGCTTGGGGAGGGGTTGGATTGCCTATGTGCTTCTAACTGACAGGCCTTTCATCATAAAAAGGCTCTCATCGCAGGTACCAAGTGAGAACAGGTTCATTCACAGCCCTTCTCTCTTCCGTATCGAAGTCAAACAAAACCACAATACCCAAAAATGCATTACAAAATCATTTCAGTTGCCCTGGCTGCGGCCAGCAGTGTCGCCGCTCAGCGTCCAGCTGATACTCCAATTTGCGACTACTACACCACAGCCCTTCTCAAGAATAACACGGCCGAAAACCAGTACACTCTGTTGACTCTTCTGGTCAACACAGTGGTGATTGGAAACTGTGAGCTTAATCACTTGAGTCCACCTTTGCAGATGACTTACTCGTCTCAATAGATACGATGCCAAACGTCGGCGTCAAAGTTCCTGGCATTCTTGCGGCGGGCACTTACAACGGCGCTGAAGTCAATCTTCTGCCATACTTCAACGGCGACCTGGCCTCGTCCAACCGTGGTGGCAGCTCTGGCGTTTCCGTCAACTTCCTTGATGGAGGTGGCGCTGCGCCACTGATGAAGAACATGCCGGCGAATGACGACAAGTCTAATCAATAGTATGTAGCCGTGCGACACCTTTGACAACCATTATGAGGCTAACAAACGATCTTTCCCAGCTTCCTCTTGACCCATCTCTACCAATTCTTCGGTGCCCTGCTCGGTTGCTCCCAGTACGGCATGACCGGGTTCCCTGGCTATGACGGACACGCATCCATGTACCAGGTTCACAAGTTCATGGACCTAGATATGAACGAGCTTGGATACTTTATTCAGCAGGTGGCCATGGCGGCTGCCTCTTTTGGCGTTGCCCAAGACGACCTCCAGGCAGTCGGAAAGGCGCTTTCCCAGCTCTTTGGTATGCGCTGCAGCCCGCCAGCCACTGCCATTCCTGCACAGGGACCCCAGCTCCAGGCGATCTGCATCGAGAACAGCTGCCCCATCTCGCCCAAATCGACTTGCGCGAGCTATGAAGCTGCTGTCGCGCCGAAGAATGCAACTGGAGGAGGTATGATGAACGCTACAGCTACCATGTCCGGCTCAGCCACGTCGATGGCAACGGCTACAGGTACCATGATGCCGAGCACTGTTCCCACAGCAGGTGCGGCTATCAAGGGCATGAGCTTGGCAGGTATTGTTGGTGTACTTGCCCTTCTTTTGTAAGATGATGAGAGACAGACTTTCTCGTGGATTCTGGATGATCTTCCATGAGCTACCGTTGATACCAGTGTCATCGACGGTGGTGGCCAGGTAGCTTGACGCTTTAGCTTGAACATCCCTTTGTACACACGTAATTAATTTGGAGGTCTTAGTGGCTGTGTCAGAGCGACCGGACTTTGATTTCCGTAGCTATGTAAATAAAAGTACCTTGACTTCTGTCGTGGAAGCTAGGTATTGGCCAATCTCCCTGTGAAGTTGTTCGATCCTTGGGCATGAGCCCGCGCGTAGTGTGACTCGCTATTCAGATGCTTGAGATGCCTTGATCAGAATCCAGAGACATCAAATGCAAGTGTGCAACGAGATCAGTGATTGTTGTCAGCCTTGGAGGGCAGCTCCTTGCCCTTGCCCTCGGTGTCATTGACAGGCGTGTCGGGTTTGCCAGGGGTGCTTGTAGTGGGACTGCCGCGAAGATGGTCAGCAATGGATCATATGCCATTAAGAGGAAAACAAAATCCAACCTGGTCATGCTCTTGAGGGTTTCGACGACAGTCATGTTGTTATTGATCATGACCTGGTTTTGGTGGATCATGATCATATTCTGCTGGATCAAATGATCGTTCTGTACTCTGAGCACAGTGAGCTTTTCGAGAATCAAGTTCCGCATCTCAGGTGAGGCCGTCTGAGAGCTGCATCCCTCTGTGGAACGAGTGATTAGCGTGAAAAGTCAAGTCTGCTGCCGATTAGGGAAATACTGACTGTGGGTGTCCTTGGTGTCTGCGCTTCCACTCATCATGCGTAGAGTACTTGATGCCAAGTTGCTGAATTTCACTTATTTTCACGAAGCAGCTGTGAGAGAAGGTGAAAGAAAGACCAAATCAGCTGTTTGTGAAGATGTTGTGGTTGAAAGGACCGAAGCGCGCAGCGAAGAGGCTGGGGGAGCCTCAGGGCCGACTTTGTTTTTCATTTTTGAGGAGCCAAGTGAAAATATTTTCTTTCGTCTTCTTTTCTGGAAGGAGCGCTATTCTGGGTCCCGGAAGGGGAAGGTGCACCTTCCCGATGAAGAGAGTTCAATTTACCTAAGTAGGCTTCCAGCAACGAACATTGTTCTTGCCGAAGAACAAGATGCTGAAGATCAAAAAGAAGGTCGTGATGTCACTATCAACGTCCCGGAGGAGACAGATTTTGCCGATGCTGCCGTCAATTACATCGAAGCTGCTGCCGACATTCCCTACGCAACAGCAGCCAAGATCGCCATGAATCTCATGATGTCGCATGAACTCGGCCAGTATCGGCCTCAGGGGATGGAAACATGCGCCCTTGGCGAGGAGGACGACAGCGTTGGCGACGAGAAGAAGAGACACACCTACACCGGGACATCTCCGAGAGCATGTCGCAAGTGACTTTCACACACCCTACAAGCAGTGGATCAGACGCGCTCACCAGGGTCGTGACGCGAGAATGGAAGCGGATCCTAACGACCGCGACTTCACATGCCCTTACTTTTTAGAGGCCGCGGGCGATTCTGAGAGTTTCAAGGCCATGAAGAAAGTGACCCTGCACATCTGGCGCTCAAACAGCACGAACATCACGGGCAAGAACGACTGGACCACCCCGAAGAACAGTGCCAAGCGCGACAGGCTCAAGGCCGAGGCCGGCTGGTACGACGAGAACTGGCAGGTGAACACATCCTCGAATGTGAAGAGGTCAGTGATTCCGCATCCCGCCCCATCTTTGTTTGAAATTGCTAACCGTTTTCTGATCAGGGGCACCACGCAGCGAGTCAAGACGCAACTTGCTGCTCGCAAGATAGAGGCGCAGAAGTCTAACAGTCGCAAGCGCAAGTTCGAGCAGCCCGTGCCTGTGCCGGGACAATCGGGAATCGTCTGGGCCCAGCCTGGCCACGTTGTTGACGAGGACCTCGAGAACCCGACTCCCGGTATCGCTTTTGGCGCTGTGCCTGTTCCGTCCGGCTGTAAGCCATCTAACGAGCCCATCCCTGGCGTGATCACCACCGCACCTCCTCCAGGCTCCCCAGGATTGAAGCCAACGTTTACGAAGCCTCCACGCGGAGCGTATTACGTCGCTCGTCCAGACACTTTCCGCAATATGCCGGCGGATGGTCACCTCATATCTGATCGGCTCAAGGACCGCCACAAGTGAGCAGCAAAATCTGCAAGGGGTTCGACTTTGATGGGAAGGACGTGAGGGAATCGTGGATGTGATAGGCGTTACCTGGAACGAACTTTCGAAAGAGGACCGACACACAAGTGGCTCCCTGTTGTTTTATTGTAGGCAGATAATCGGAATAGACTTGAAAACACAATGCACCCTAAACAAGATTCATCAGCATCTAAGAGTGATATGGCTTCAATTTGGAAGGCGCCTAGGTGCCTGGGTTCTGAAGAGGCATTGTGCTTTGAGATTGATATTCTACGTTATTGGATGAGACTCTTGGATCACCAGTCATCCAATGCTACGTTAGCCACCGGAAACAACATAGCTAATAGTTCGTGTCCCAGGTTGTTTTCTACGAACGTCGTACCTGCAGGAGCCGGCGCGGTGTTCATTGTTGTGCTGGCAATCTCCCTTCAATCACATTTTCGCGCCAAAACTGAAGCTCCGACCGGAAAAGTTGCAGCTGGCACGATTTTGACAGATGTGTGGCCCACTGGAGCTGAGTAGTAGTACCTGAGGTACGCCGCGGTCCCCACACGCACGCTCCATGATTCACTTTATCCTCGTTTTCTTCGACAAGGACCTTTGCAGCAATATGACGTTCGGGAGATTCTTGAGAGGGCATTACGGGCTCAGGGGTGCTATTGAGATGTAGAAAACCGATAGATATTCTAAAGAGTTTGTGAGCGAGGTTCTGTCCTTTCTGCTGATATACTTGAATCTCAGTTCAAGTCGCGCTCATACCGAGTGTACCGGTAAAGCAAGATGCGCAGCACACAACTAGGCATTCATGTCAATGAAATTTGGGGCTTTTATCAAGCCGCTGGAGAAGTCACGCGTTCTAAGCACTGAAAATGGTTGAGAAAAGGTGTACCGAACATCGAAAGCGACATCAAGCCACCTCGGCCGAAAATGACCACGCGCACAACGAAGACTCAATTCTTTCTGGGTTTTTCGAGCCCGTCAGCGGCAGAGGGGTTCAAATTTACCGCAGGGGCCCCACTGCAGTTGTTGTGGCCCCGCAAACCCCGCACGAATACGTCTTCAGATGAGATGTCGCCGAAAATCGTCACCAAGGACCCATGGCGCAACGGTAGCGCGTTCGACTCCAGCGAGGCATCGAAAGGTTATCCGTTCAAATCGGGTTGGGTTCAATACCCTATGTCCTTAGTTTTTGCGGTATCTGTTGATATCGTGATGCTGTTGTGGTGTTTGGATGATACATAGTGCCCGGACATGATGCTCATGTTGAGACGCCGTTTTTTTGTCGCCGACGTGTCCGGAGCGCACGGTTCATATCAAAATGGGGTCCGTGCGTGCCAAAGTCCAGCTGGGGGCAGTTGCGACCGTCTGCGGGCTGGAATTATTCAAGAAAAACGTCCGCCGCCCAACATCAACAGCCGAAGTCCTGCACACAACTGAAGAGCGATCCGACGCTACCAATGAACTCTGCAACCATGGCTTTGAACATTCGATGCCCAATTTGAGTATTCCATCTGCTTCTTTGACTCAAGCTACGATAAAGACCTCGGTTGTGATTAGGTGTGGTCCACGACGTGACCGACCGACATCGTCACGTATGTACGCGTACGGGCGAGGAAATGCTCTCGCAACTGGAACCACAATGCCAACCACGATAATTGCAAGGCCGCCCTGCCACTTGCAACCCTTAAACTAGGTTTGATCTCCACGGAGGACAATTCCGATGTTCCGTGCTGCATATCTACCGGGCGGCAATCGGCTGTCACGGGAAGTTCATCATCGTGCATCCGCTGCAAGGTTGGGGACGAGAAAGATCGATGTAAAGCGGATTCATAAGACGAACACTACTTTGAGTAAAATCCAACGACGCGCCTGTTTTCCGTACGTTCCTAAACCTCGAGCCAGCTTGTCCATTCCCTGATAACTCCGAAGTACTAATCGAAAACACAGTATGCCAATGACAAGGCCGAGAAACCTACTACGGAACCAAAGGATTCAGTTGTGCAGAATCTCGTCTGCAATTGGGGCAGCTAGAAAGACATCGTGAATGTGGCCATCATGCAGTCTTCTTGGTACCCTTCACCGGCAATGCAGGATAGTCAGGAAGCTCCCAACCCTTGACGTCGTCCGACTGCAGTCTCTGGAACAGCTTGTCGATTTTGAGAGTGCAGACGAGCCAGAGAACGGTATTGAGGACCTTGATTCCGAACGCCGACTTCGGATACAGCAAGTTCGGCCGCCACGCAATGTCCTGCACGGTCTTCATGAACGGTCGCAGAGTCTTGTCATACGCCTCCAGTGCAGCAGGCACGCCTGCTTTCGCGGAATCGCCGGTGCAGTGCTTCGAAATCTCCCCGGCCATGACATACGCGCCAACAAATGCCGACGTCGTACCGCTGCCAGTCAAGGGACTCGGCCCATAGCCTGCATCACCGAGGAGTACGACGCGACCCTTGTACCACTTTTCCATCCTGACTTGGCCGATTTGGAAGTTGTAAAAGTCATCAGACACACCCCCCGCTTCAAGCCCGTCGATAAATCGCGGCGTCTGCCAGCCAGCATCCTTGAACAGCTCAATCCATAGACGCTTCTGCATGTCAAGGTCGCGGTTCTTCTGGGACTCCTGAAGAAGCCTGTCGGTTTCCTTGTCTTGAGGCACGAGACCCAAATACACCTGGCTGGTCTCGGGGTTGTCGCTCCTCCTCATCATCATCCTCTGCTTGGGCACAACGCAGACCGTCGCGTAGTTGTCGTCAGTCTTTTCCCTAGGCACGGTGAACAACGCCGAGTGCAGCTTGAACGGCACAAAGGGGTCTTTTTCTCCGTTGAGCATAAGCCTCCGGGTCTTCGAGCCTTGGCCGTCAGCTCCCACCACCAGATCATACTTGTCGGTGTGACCGTTGCTCAGTTTCACCGTGACCGAGTCGGCATCTTGTTCAAACGACGCAATAGAGTTGTCAAAGATGTACTTGACGCCCAGCTCATCTGTGCTCTTGAAGAGAAGGCGAACCAAGTCCCCGCGCATGATTTCGAATTCTGATGTGAAGCTCTGCTTGCCGGTACCGGACTTGTTCGCCTCAAAGGTGGCCACCGTCTTGCCGTTCTGGTCGACGAAGCGAAGGCCTGCCTCGTCGACGCCTTTTGCGCGAATCTCGGGCTCGATGCCCATGAGGCGGATCACGGACACGCCCTGACCGCGGATGTCAATCTGCTGGCCCTGGGCGCGCAGAGACGGGTTTCTTTCGACGACGGTGACATCGTGACCCAGCTTCGCTAGCCAATACGCGAGCGCAGGGCCACCAATGCCGCCGCCGACGATGAGGACTTTGAGAGCAGATTGTGAAGACATGTGTGATGAATAGTCGTGATGTAATGGGTTGGAGAAGGTTTGAAAATGAGTTTCGAGGCTCTTACCGAGAAGATAAACATTCCGACCAGGCCAGCTGGGCAACATCAATGTTATACAAATTTAAAAAAATAACAGACGACAACCTGTCAACATGAACCGGTTGGCGTCGCGGTGCATGCGCGAAAGAATGGTGATGCCATCGGCGCCGTTAGAACAGAGACCCTCGGCGATGCTTGAAGTCCGCAGTCCGAGTCCAATTCGGGCTTTACGAGAGAGGCTGTCGTACTTGGTGACGTCAACAAGCCGGATCCGAATGCCGCCTGGCCAGTAGCACGGCGGGGAATGCCAGCGCTTGGCTGGTAGCCGCATTGACCGCCCTGAGTCAAAGACCGTAGGGTGGCCGGCGTCAGTTTGGGGAAAAGCAATTCGTCGATGAAACACTTCGGAGGGTGATGCCTACGGCTCGGCCTTGAAAAGACCGTCGGCCTTCGGGCGGCGGCCGGATGGGTTACTCAGTCTGTCGTGACCACTTGGTGACTGTGGTACGTGTCGGCTGACTGCATTTTTGCCTGATTTCTACTGTCTTGACTGGCATCTGGAGAATGGGTGAATCTTAGAAACAGAGGAATGCATTATTCTTGGTGTATTAGGTACACCTGACTAGCCAGACAACAGCTTCAGAAACACTTGTACCAAGCCCCCGGGAAATAGTGACCAGATTGGTAATGTGCGTGTAAAGTCAGTTGCAGCATAACCTATGAAAATTGATTTTCGTATTTGCCATTTAGAATGTGGTTTGTTTTGGCGTTTGTAATGTTGGTCTGAATAAGACAGAGTTCATCGGTGTAATACTCCAAGAGTCTGAATAAACTGTTAGAAAGATTTAAATAGTAAGATCTCGTTAGGTGCTGTAAGAAGAATCTCCCAGAACAGTTTTCTTTGTCATTCTAGGCCCTGAACCCCCTGGATGGTGACCAGATAGGCTTCTACCGAAGCTTGGCCGGTGTTTGTGTCATTCCCACTAGCATTATCTTCATCTTCTCCGGTGTTGTTGCCGCCGTCAATCTGGTCTTCGTCGCGATCGTCATCGGATTCAGGAAAGTCATCGTCGAGTTGATCATTTCGTGTATCACTGACATCTTCTGGCTGCTTTGCTTCGTCGGAGTTGAACGCCTGAATGAGCCGTTTGTTGAAGTCCGTCGCGCGAACCAGAATCTCGGTAGTTCGAATCTTGCGTCCCTTCTGGGTCTGGTTGCGTCGGCGAAGATTGACCATCTCACGACGTAAAGCAAGGAAAGCTTGGCGGCGTAGGACGCGATCCCGGTCCTTCATCTCGGCCCTGGACAGCGTGGAGTACTCTTTGTCTTGGCGAATGTACTGACGGGTCAGCGCATTCAATTCAGGACCGTAGAGCTGGATGATTTGGATGCAGGCAGCCGATCTAGGGTGCAGCCTGCGCTTGCCTCGAGCTTCATGAACTGGTCGGTTTTCCCTGCCACAATAGTTTCACTCGGGTTGACGGCAGAGATGTCGATATTCTGAAGTCTGTCGTCGGTCGATGTAGAGAGTCATACGGCAGTCAACAAGGTGCGCCTCCAGGCGGCAAACTGCGAAGAAAAAAGTTAGAAGGGAAGGAAGGAAACCTCTCCAACGCAAAGCTATCCGGATCGTCACACATCAGCGCGCGCGCATCAGTACTGCCCAGAATTGCTCCGTAGGTGTCAGCTGATTGCCGTCTGATGTTATGCAATGTCACAGAGCCAGGCCATCCCATTGCTTCGGCGCGTCGTTGGAGCCACTTTGTCAGTGAGGGAGCTGGGAGCGGACTGTTGTCGGCCACGAGACCAGCAACCTTGGGCTTGGCGGGCAATCAAATTGGCTGCTCGAGGAACTCGGGCTTGACAGTGATAACATGTAGATCGCTGTCAAAGAGCTCTTCAACTGATGAAATGTTCTCAAAAACACCGCGACGGATTCCGATAACTAGGTAGTTGCCGATGAGGAGCTGACAATGACAAGTTCGACTGCTGCTGGGGAGAGGGGACCCGGAATCTCATGGTCTCAGAGCGCGTATCATTTCTGTCATATGGCTGAAGACAAAACTGCCTGTCGGAGGCTTCATCGTCCTCTCCGTGTACTTTCGATGAATCCAACATAACACTACGGTTGTGCAGGAGATCATCTTGTGCGCATGAGAAAGCGGAACCTTGAGCTGAACGACGTTGAATAGGTAAGGACGCAAGAGGCGCCAAAGAGTATCCCAACAATTGGGTTCATCCCTTGCAAAAGGTATGTTTGTTGTTGTTTCTCTTCGTCTCTATTGTGTTCACCCACCCCCGCTGCTGCTGTTGCCGTTGTTACTGTCTCTGCTGTTGGGTGCGCTGTCGGATATGCTATCCATCATCTCTGACGTTCTTCTTTCTCTTCCCTCCTCGTTCGTCTTTGTTTTGGCCGTCACTGCCCTCGTCAGTCATCACTGTTCATTTTCCTTGCTTGGCTTCCCTGCTTGTTGCTGTCTCTGCTGCTGCTGTCTCTGTGGCTCTGGCCCGCCGTTGGCTCCAGTTTCCGCTCTTGTCTTCTGTCATCCTGGCCGCCTTTCTTCGTTGATACTGACCCGTCTAGGATTCCAAGGAGACTGGTGAGAATACGCTTTAGTTGACTTGCTGCATTTGGACTTGGTTTGGCTTTTAGGTGGACCTTTGTCCGTAGATTGGACTGAAGACAGAAACGCACAATCTAACTAGAATAGTGACAAAAGCAATACTTACCAGAAATGCCACAACGTTGTGGCAATTCTCAAATCACTTATCTGTGGTTGGAGGT